TAATTTGTTCTTGCAGACGGTTTGGTGAGTGTGTGGAGGCCATCCACATGCAGGAAGTGGCTGTGAACGTCCAACCTCTATACGCGAGAATGGTGTTGCGATCAGCTTCGACAATGGCTGTGAACGTCCAATCTCTTGATCTTAATCTCCCTAGCCCGTTGTTATATCATAGCCTCTTTAGATAATTCGATACAGAGGCAGTTCGATCAGATCGAACTCGTCAAAGACATATTGGATAGTCTAAAAACTATGTACGAAGAGCAGAACCGTTCTACTCGCGAAAAGGTCCTGAAGCAGTTCATGACCGCATAGATGACCAAGGGGCAGCAAGTTCATGACCATTGTCTTCGGATGATGGGTTATATAAATGAGCTGGAGGCCCTTGGGTCCGGGCTAGATCTGGTCAGACAGATAGACGCCATTCTTAACTCCTTGCCTCCGTCCTTCAATCCGTTCATTATGAACTATAATATGAACAAGTTGAATGTCAGCATTCAAGAGCTCAGCAATATGTTGCAACGAGCCGAAGAACTGATTAGGAAGGATGAGCCAATAGTCATGCCAAGGCATCCGATGCCTGTCACTTCTGCAAACATGCTGACCACTGGAAGATGAACTGTCCTGCCTACCTGGAATCTAAGAAAGGAAATTTCGAAACTTGTGTCATAGAGACTAATCTGTTAGTTACTCCTGTGTCCTGGTGTGTTGACTCCGGGGATTCAACTCAAGCATGTAATTCACTACAGAGGTTCAAAGTTAGCAGAAGGCTGAGTGACGGAGAAGTGACACTTTACTTGGAGACTTCTGCAAGTACTGCAACTACGACGATAGGAATCGTACAATTAGTCTTTAGAGAATGAATACTTGTACTTAAGGATTGTCTTTATGTACGAAACTTTAGAAGAAATTTGATTTTTGTTTCTAAACTGTGTTGATGGATATACTGTCTATTTTAGTAATATGATTACTATTAAAAGGAACAATAAATTCATCGCATGTGGGGAATTGGAGAACG